TCCCTTCTCTCTCCGCTGTAGCGTCAAGCTTTGTTCAACATGACACTCGTTCCTTCCCCTTCGCTCTACTGCTGCCTTGTCAACAGTCTGACAAAATATTGCAATAAATCAAACTGAAATATTGACGATTACACGCAAGAGGTGAAAGAAAAACCCATTACCTTTCCGTTAAATACACGTTTTCCTCAATAAGGTCAAAGTAACAGGGCATTTTTCCTTGCTTGGCAAACTCCTTCCAACGCTGCGGGTCTCTGAAGTCATCCATGATGCACAATCGACCGACCATTGCCGAATCCCGAGGCAATGACTCCACCTGTTCTCCCTCCATCTTTACTTTCTTCCTTTCTCTCGAGTCTCCATCACTCTCCGAGTCGCTTTCCACTTCTGGCCTTCTTTTCTTGGGTGGTCCTCGCTCTTTCATGTCACTTTTCTCCAAAATCTTTGTCTCTTCTTTCTTCTCATTTACAGAGACTGGCTCTTTTGTCGAATTGCTGCTGATTTCGTGTGCCTGAACAGAACCTTTTTCCTTTTGGCTGAGAGCATGAAACTTGCTCGAGTGGCTAGGGAAGTGAGGCTTGCAATCGTCATCCCAATTATCGTCATCTTCATACTCCTCGTGGTCCTCCGTTAACGAATCTGGTACTTGCCCCTGTGTTCGTTCACAATTCATTGCGGAAGGCCTACTGCTGGATCTTGGGTCCCAATAACCATTGCCTTGCCAGTAATTCTGTGAACCACTATACAGCGCTGAACTTTGCTGGTAGGCATAACCTGAGTATATCCCATAGCTGCTATCAGGCTGCTGATATGTGCTACTGGGTTTCTCTGGTTGGGAGAAGTCCCACCCTAGGCTCCCCAGATCTTCTGTCGAATGAAATCCATCCACCCTAGAGAAGTCTCCTAAACCAGCCTGATTACTGAATCCAGCCTTCCCTTGTCTACTGTCTGGCTTAAAAGAATGCGTCTGCTGCCTACATTTATTTTCATCACTTTCAAAGCTCTCCGAAAGGCAAAAGGGCTGTTCTTCGTGCCTGCCAGTTGGCCTGGCTATGGACATCAACTCGTTTGAGAGCATTCTTTCCTCTGAACTTGGTTTGCTGTTAGAATTTGAGGTTAGGTCCGCCTGACTTGTACTGTCAACTCCATCGCTCTGCGGCTGAGAAATGTCTAGTTGGAGGTCTTCCGTTTCCTTTCTACTGAGCTCAGTAGATGTTGCCGGGCTCTTATCCATTCCCCTAGGAGAACCTTTGCTCTCCATCTGTGACCCGTTTTTGTTTGCTGTATTATCTGGCCTTTCTTCATAGTAAAGTTTGCTGGGCTCTGGCCGGTCGTCTTCCCAATGATCAGAGTACCGCCTATTGTCCTGGCTGCTCCGAGATGAACAAGGACTGCTTTCCTCCATCGTTATAGTAGAATTTTTGGGGATTACTACAACCGACTGAAGACGGTTCCTTGGGATACCATCATCCGAGTCAGAGTCCTCTGTATCGCTTTCTTCGCTCCCTTGCTCACTCTCGCTTTCTGCCGTATCAGAATAATCGTCAGGGTGGGCAGGAATGAATTCAGAAGTACTGCCACTACTATCGCATGTCGGGGCTTGAGCCACAGTGTCCATTTCTTCTGCAGTCACAACAATATCACACGATGGAAGCAAAGCTTCTGGAAAAGCCGACACCACCAGGGACTCTGCTCTTTCCTCCCTATCCACTGAAGTGTCGAGAGGCTGGTCCTTCAAGTCATCCAAGCCAGGTTTTTCAAAGACAGAACTCTCCTCAACTGCTTCCTCTCTCTCCAGGTGTCCCACTGGTACATCTAAATAATACGAATGCTCATTTTTAAATGATGGTTTTCTTTTTTGAAAGTCGGGCTCCATATGCTGGCCATCTAATTCAAGTATCTCTTCAGTCTCAGAGCACTCCAAGAATTCTTCGCTTTTATTCAGCCTGGCTCGATACACTTTGGAAGCATAAGTTTCCTCTAGGTGGTGTGTAATAATTAGATTGTCTATGTTCATTTTCAAGGAGCACTCTTCTTGGCAAGAATCTCGGCTTGAACTATCTACAATTAAGCTTAGTTTATGGGAGGGATTAACAGAACATGGTTCATCTTCAAACGAAGAGCTGGAATTTCGATCCTCTGCATTTTCATACTCGCACGTAACCGTTTGTGGCTCTACGTGAATGTCCATAAAAGTTTCTTGAGTAACTTTTATATCAGTGGGTTCCATTTCGATTTCTGAACGATGTAAGGAAGGATTAGTGTCATTGGAAACATAGCAAGAGACCGGATCTTTGGTTTTGTTACAAGGAGCTGTCTGGTCATCCCAATTTTTAAGTAACGTTTTAGAATTATCTACACCGAGAGCTGGTGAAGATATAACCTCATCTTGGACTGGAGCGGGAGCCTCCGTTTCTTTAAATGAACTGTTGCATTCATTGGACTGTATGTGAGAATTATCCAGATCTTGTCCTTTAGGTGACTTGTATACACTTTCAAACCCATTAGATGCCAACATACGTGATCTATTAGACTTTAGAGGCAACACCTCTGTTCTACACTGACTATCGTCAGAGGATATCGCAACGTCTTCTGCTTTGCAGGCACCGAAAGTTGGTAAGTCATCAGACCTACCTTCTGGGGAACCATTTAGATTCAGTTCAATGGGATAGTAAGTTCTTAACTGATCGTGCTTTACCTTTAATAAAGTTTCTTGTTCATTAATACTGTCGTGGCATTCATTTCCTGTAAATTCATCAGATTTGGAACGAGGAGAGCTGACTTTCAACTCATCTAGCTTTTTAAAAGTAGGCGAATCATTTAACTGATTTAATGGAGAAACAGTCTTTTCCCTTTCACATTTTTTCGAAATAGACATCCTTAACTCACTGCTTTTCAGACAAGACGTGTCTAAATCTAAAGAATTAGAATGCTGTTTGATTTCCTCAACCAATTCTGTACAACAGAAAGAACTTTTAAATTTATCCGACTTTGGTGCAGATGTCTTTGAAGGTGTGGACTTATAACGGGAAGAGTTCACATTGCTGTCGGGTTTAGAATGGGAAGTCCCCCTTCGATATCCCAGTTCGTTCAGGGGAGAGCACCTTTTTGCTGCTTCGCTTTCCAAGCTCCTTTTCGAGTCGCGATCTGATTTTGAAGACGACTTCCCTCTTCGCTCCATTTCGGCATAAGACGATTCTATTTTGCTGTCCCTGTCTGATTTCGAATAGGAAGAAGTTCTGGACTCTCTATACGAGGAGGAATGAGATGATGTGCGCCTCAAGTCACTTGACCGGGAATGTGTCCTCCGATACTCCTCTTCCGAATCCGAACTCTCCCTCATCCTGTTATCCATGTAAGAACGAGAATATCTCGTCCTCTCTCTGTAGGGGGAACTTCTATGGTACCTCCGGTCAGACTCATAGTAATAAGACCGTTCTGATCTTGAATAGGAAGAGCTGGTTCTAGAGCCTCTATCAGATCTGGATCGAGAGTGAGACCTGCTCCGTCTTCTGTCCCTGTCTGACCGAGAGCGTGAGGATGTATACCTGGAGTCTCTTTCTGATTTGGAGTAACTAGAATATTTTTCCTCTCTGTCCGGTTTGGAGCGCGAGGAGCATTTCCCCAGATCCTCACTTCTGAAAGAGGTGGAACACTTCCTCGGATCTTTTTCCTTTTCCGTACTTGATACTTTTAGTTCGTGGGATCTCTGGCTGGAAGACGTCCTCACAGAGTCTTCGTCGGACTCGGAACCCAGTACTGGGCCATCAGATTGCGAGAACTTCCTCTTGGAGCCCTGTTTTTTGGCGCAAAGAGAAATGCCCTTGGAGCCGTCCGAAACGTCTTCCTCCTTCCCAATATGGGAATCTTCCTTCTGCAGAGTTGTTTCTGTTTGCTCGGCTATATTTTGAGTTAAATGTTCTTCAAAACTAATAGAAACAGTATCCTGCTTAAGGCTCAGTTCTAAAGGTTCTTTTGCTAGCGTATTAGATGGCTCCTTTGGAGTTGGGACGTCTGCTTCTACAGCTGGCGACAGCAGCGGTATTACTATTGTTGGTAATGGGATTGGCAGTTGCGACAAAGCTGCTGTCATTAGGACTGGTGTCGATGCTGGTGGCGACGCTGTCTGGGGAGGCGGCGGCGGCGGTGGCGGCGGCGGCGTTGTTGGAATATCTGTCGCCACTGCCGCCACCAACTCCATTACAGGTGCTAAAGCTGCTGGTGGTGGCACTGAGGCTGTAGCTGCCAGTGGTTTTGCCGTAACACTAAGCAGATGCTTTTTAAAATGGATCTTGCCCAATTCCACCTTAGGCTTTGGTGGCGAAGAGTCTTCCGCTGCAGAGGTATCGCCAAGGTCCATTTTAATTTTGGGGGCGAAGTCAGTTTGAAGGGATGTAGCAGGGGAGTTCTGAGTTTCATTTTGTTTTTCGCTTCCAAGAGCCGTGAGAAATCTATTTTGCAAGGTTTTCTTTGTTAAACTGAAGCTGAAAGACACCTTCTGTCTTCCTTGCTCCTCAAGGTTCACCTTTGTTTTCGTGCCTTTGGGCAAAAAGCGACTAGAAGCAACGCCTTTGAACACCGGGCCTTTGAGAAAGCCAGGCTTTTGCACATTTTCAGTCTTGGCCTGCAACAAAAAGAAAAAAAAAAAAAAAAAAAAAAGCCATTAAAAGAACTATTTT